ACTACGCCAGTGTGCGGCCAGTTCTGCTCTATGGTTGCGATACCCTAAATTTGCGCGTGGAAGATATTCGTCGTCTTGTAGTATTCGACTGCAGATGTTTACGTAGTTTGGCGCTGGTTAGATGGAGCGAGCTTGTAAGCAACTCTGAGGTGAGGCGTCGCGTATTTGGTAATGATTCGATGGAGAATTCGTTGTCCCATCGAATTCAGATTAGTCGAGTTCGCTGGTTAGGACACGTATTGCGCATGTCCAGCCATCGTCTGCCGCACCGCGCCTTATTCGCAGTTGCGGCTCCAGGTTGGAAGAAACCGCGTGGAGGTCAACAGACGACGGGGAAGCGATGCATGAAGAAATACACAGAGCGATTAGGTAGAATCGGTGTTTCCCGTCTTCCAGGTTGGGGTCCGAAAGACTGCAACTGATTGGCTGGAAACATTAAAGGAAATGGCGACTGATCGACAGCAGTGGCACTCTTGTTGTCATTTCTTAACATAGCAGAATGCTTGAAAATGGTATGCATGAACACTTGGATTGTGTTGAACATAGAGGTTCTTTTTCTTTGCCTCCCTCCAAGTAGGCCCAATCCCTCTCCACCTTTTGCTTTATCATTTGTTTTGTGTACATTGTGAGCTTGACAGCGATCAGTGAAGCTCGCTTCACTGTATCTTGCTGTACGATGATAATAATGACATGACCTTTCGATTTCAGTGAAACGTCGCCTCTACGCAAAAAGTGTTTCAGTCCTGTGTATGTTGCTCCAGCCTTGGAAATGCTGCGCTTCCGTCATTCGTCAAGCAACTACTTAAGAACGAAAAGTGATTCACCATAACTAACTCCTGGCCGTTCAGTTTCAGAACGAAGATAGGCGACACCCAGTCTGGACTTTGCACTTTGAAGATGCAAAGCAAATACCGAATGGAGGTAACCTCCAAAAGCCTCAGTATGGTCAGGGGTGGGAGTCAAGGGTTGCGGTTGGTCACCCTGTCCGTGCACCTCACGAAATGCTCCCATACGACCAAGTGTCTCAAACAGCCTCTGCTGAGGAAGCCCTACTCACTGCCTTCTCACCAAAGTGAGAGGACGGAAAGCCGACGTCCGGGTTGGTTGACCACTGGCAGTTCACCTAGGGGAGTTGGCTAAAAACCCTGATTCCAAACCAACCATGAGGAGGCGTACGGACCACACCCACACCTTTTCGGTTGTGGCAGTGGTCATCGGCTCGAATGGGCGTTGAGGTGTATTGGACACCTTGGACGTCTGACCACATCCAAAGGGTGTATGATCCGATGGACTGGACACCGGCTCCCAATGGACTGCGGTTTTCGCCCCGCTGCCTTGCAGGTCAGGTTTTAGCTAACCGAAGGCTCCGGTTATGGATTCCTCAAGAAAATTCACCTACCTAGGCCTGGGCAACCTGGCAGTACTCACCCTACAAGCCAATCATGGAACATTTTCTTTCCTATAAAGATTATTGTACTATGATTTGTTTGGCACACAGTCTGTCTTCAGACAAGTGTGAAACATAATAATAATCAGTAACCGCAGTTATTAGTCTATCAAGTGCGCTTTGTGCGTCTTCCATACATTCGGACGGACAGTAGACGTCATCTGCGCACTCCAGATCGCACAGCTTTTCCCCAGCTGTCCACTTAATTCCTACCTTTCGGAGACCACTAAATGCGTCCTCCAGTATGGCATCTACGACGAGATTGAATAGGAACGCCGAAATAGGGCACCCTTGATGAACACTGCTGCTGGTGATGAACAGTCTACTTTGTTCGTTGTAGACCCTTACACGACCGAAGGTATGTGAGTAGTGACTTAAGTAGGTCAACATATTTCTGGGGAATCCCTTTTCGAAGAAGGGAGCCCATCAGAGCTTCGCGGTCAACTGAGACGAAAGCTCCTTTCAGGTCAAGGAACACTGCGATCGTTGGCCGACGGTGTATATGATGCAGCTGAAGGATCTGACGCAGCGTAAAAATCTGATCAATACATCCACGGCCAGGACGGAATCCGGTTTGCTGTTCACGGATGTTGGTCATTCTTAACGGAGTCAGACGACGAAGTATAACCGAAGCTAGCATCTTGGTGACGATCAGGATCAAACTGATCCCGCGGTGGTTTTCGCAATCGTTGCGGGATCCTTTCTTGAAAATGGGAACCGTCAGTGATCGGGGTGGGACGAAAGAAGCACACTTCCTACCGCACACTGGGTCTACAGACTGAAAAGCATAAGAGCCTGCACAAATACTTGTATGAACAAGTAGTACCGGTGATCACCGCAGCTTGTAAATACGAGCTGGAGACGAAAGTTATAATTCTAGACTGCTACGTGACAGAGCGATGCCCCCGTAACATCCGCATAACACATTCATGCAAAAAATAGTCAACCCCGTGAATATAAAAAATGGCCCGCTTCTCTCTCCTCTCTAACGCGTACACACACACACACACACACACAACCGATACACTGAAGTATGTGAAGAACAAAGGTGGGAAATGTGGTTTGGCACAAGTGTCCAGCTCAACTCACTCAAATGGATCCATAAGAATCATAAATTAAGATTCTATCGTTCTTACCTTTATTTCTTTACTATTGCTGATAACTGAGTTGAGTGCAGGTACATTTGTGCGACAAAGCGTCGCTGTATATTTCATGATAAACCATTTGCATTCGAGTGTATGTGCATTGAGCGTGGAAAACCGTTGTCATCAAAGACCGATGCCGCAATATAAGCGAGTTAGACCATTTACTTCGCCGCTTGTCCTCACGCATGCACCAGTATCGTGCAACTTTCGCCCACATTAAATGCCTAAAGAGGATGTTAACGCTGGTGTGTCTAATTCTTGCTAACACATTCAACGACTGATGCTATAATATCACTAATGCAAACTACAATCGAGAAGTTAAGGCCGATCACTATCAGGAAGTTTGTAACACCTGTCAAAAGTGAAACAAAGGTCAAATGAGTACCATTCAGGCAGATCAGGTCGTTTCATTGCATTTCGCTGTAGTTGGTGCGTGGTGAGCTCGGCTCTATACTACTGGATACAGCGAAACGTTCTCATTGTTTTAGTGAGTGTATTCACCCAACAAAAACTTGAGATAATAAACAAGACCTAACAGAAGGGACGAAAACACCAGTTCGCTCTCTTTATCAAACACAAAATGCACATACGATGAAAAACATGGCTGAACTAGTCGTTCCAGTACTTTTACCACGGCCTTTAAACACGGACAACGTGCATTTATATATATATATATATTTCACACTTGTCTGAGGACAGACTGTGTGCCAAACAAATCATGGTACAATAATCTTTATAAAAGAAAAATGTTCCATGATTGGCTTGTGGGCTGAGTACTGCCAGGTTGCCCAGGCCAAGGCAGGTAAATTCTCTTGAGGAATACATAACCGGAGCCTTCGGCTAGCCAAAGCCTGACCCGCAAGGCAGCGGGGCGGTGTGCGAAAACCGCAGTCCATAGGGAGCCGGTGTCCAGTTCATCAGATCATACGCCCTTCGGACGGGGTCAGACGTCCAAGGTGCCCTATACACCTCAATGCCCAATCGAGCCGGTGACCACTGCCACAACCACAACAACATTTATAAATGTGAAAAACAATACCTTTTAGATGCATCGAACAACCACAAGCCGGCGACTCAAAGCTAAGGAAGACGGACAAGCGTTCCATCAACACAAGAAGACATGTGAGCAGGGATAAGTGCTCGTTTGCAGCTTGCACAAGATTCTAATCCGCTTCAGCCCAAGAATGACTACCGATCGAAATTGGTTGACGATCACGACCACAAGACAAAACACACTCCCTAAATATGACCCAAGGAACTTGCTCTGGCATTTATTTCGCAATCATTGGCGGAAATTGGGTACATCCTGTTGATTCTAATTGACCACTTCATAATTCAATCTGCTAGCACAATCCTAACTGCATTCGAACAAGTACGACCAACCGGATGAACTGAGGACTGTGCGTTACCCTGATGCTGAAGGGAGAGCCGCTGAGAAGCACACCAAAACGCTCACACCTGCCTAGATAGTAAACTCGAGACTATATCGGTTATCTCTCAACCAAGAGAAAAGCAGAAATTAATGTAGAGAAACGCTGTATTTCAATACTTATCGGGAGTTAAATCCTAGGCTACACACACGATGAGTCAACGTTGATCCCAACAGTCTACTTCAAGGTTGCGAATCAGAACGGAATCAGTGTGAATAACTTGCAGGAGACAGACAAGGAACAGGGCTACGACTCGCGCAAATCCCGCACAATGGGAAAGGGAAATGTTCACAAAATGAATTTAGAAATTGGTGGTTATCGATTGCGCCGTAAAACCACTAAACGACACTCAAAAACCTGCGAAACTCGACTCAATTGAGCCTCTACGGAGAAAAAGTAATGATAAGATCACGACCGTTAAAGCCCATTCTTTGTTCAGCTCATATAAGTGAAGATCGAACTACACGATAACGAGTCTTAGCCAGTGCCGATGTACTGATGAGCAAGAGAGCCGCGTTCTCAGCGAACGACTAACCGGGATGCTCGTGTTTGAATGCACAAAAGATGTGCCAAGCAAACCAAGGAACAGTAGAATGTCTCGCACGAAACCGGAATCACAAAAGATACTAGTCGGAGGCTGTTAAAGACGGGCCGTCATGGACCCATTTCTGAAGGTCTGCCTCCCACCGATGTCATTCCACAAACAATACCGACTGGCAGCAAATAACAAACCAGCAAAGGCGGTTTTGAACCCCACCCGCCAAACCGTCAACCTGCCCTGGGATTGACCGTACCTTCGCTCGACTCTTCTGATAGGGCTGGCGACATATTTTAATACGGCATGCTTCGACTAATGGGACCTAGGAATAAAACTCGATCAGCATTGAGAAGACAAAAACAGCTCAATGGGATGACCGACAACATATATTTGAGTAAATCAATAAAAAGCGTGAATCTTTAGCGGGAAAATTAATTTGCTCACGCCTCCTCGGCTTCTTCATCAAACTCGCCCTCCTCGTCGGCGGTGGCATCTTGATATTGTTGGTATTCGCTAACCAAATCATTCATGTTAGA